ATAAGGATGCGTTATGTATTTTGTAAATTTATTTTCTGAACAGTGTTCAGTTAGTTAATTGTTTATATTAATAGGAGGAGTTGATGTTACTTGATTGTTTATATTGATAGAAGGACTTGATGACACTGGAGAGCAGAGAGGTTTTATCAGCGGTCAAACACAAAGTTGTTGACTCTGTACTTGACAACAAAAAAAATGATAGGTACGGATGAGTTTAGTACTCGCAATTAACCTGTTCCATAGTATTTATGAAATAAGTTTGAATTCCACAATTTTTATTTGTCGTGCTATGTTTATTTGATATTTGTAGTATCACATTAGTTTTTTTAATTTTTCATTCTGTATGATTTTGATGGGTTTATGATGGGTTTATCCATGTCGTATGTAGGATTTTCTTTGAATTTAATGCAGTGGGCTACGGAAAGATCAGTGGCTAAATTTCCTGTCTGAAGTTTTCTTCTCTTGGTCTTATCCTGCACACATGTACCTATTGGGAAAATTGCAAACCACTGATATTTTCACAAAAATATTTACACATTCATGGAAACCACGGATGGTTTCAATCCATTCGGAAATATGAGTACATCGTACAGCATGTGGCCCGTAATCTTAATGCCTTACAATCTACCCCCATGGAGGTGTATGAAAGATCCATTTGTCATGATGTTATTACTTATTCCCGAACGATCCGCACCTGGAAAAGACATCGATGTTTACTTGCAACCATTAGTGGCAGAGTTAACTATTCCATAGCTTTAGACCCTAATACGCAGGTAGCAAATAGCCAATGGTCATCTACTACACTATACTCACATGAACTTGTACTTTGTCTAAAAGAGTATTGAATACACTACAACTAGTGGGTAATGCTAATTTTCACATATTATTTTAGCAAATACTATTGGACATGTCATAAGTTGTAATATCTAAAACTTTTTCTTTTAATTTTTTTTTAAAAAACTTAAAACTAATCTTAATTGGATTTGAGAGTAGTAGAATCAGGAATATCTGCCATAGTTCTACAACAGAAAAAACTAATCTTATGTTGTAAAGTTAAGCCAGATACGTTTAAGTTTTACTAGGCTGTAGGTTGCTTCTTACTGGTTCATGTATACGTTTAATGTAGGGACATTGTCGTGTCTATGAATCTTCATGAAATGCCTTGCGAATGTGCTACGCGACGTAACATGCACACGCTTAAACCAGGGGCATGGCTATCCGACACTGTAAGTCGTGGCATCTAACAATGTTATTTCCACTATATTTGCATGATGGTCATTTCCATGTAGGGACATTGTTATTTCGTATTACATTTAAACAAATTACAAACCTTATTTCGCAAGTTGCCTCGTCTGTTACAATGTTCCAGCCAATCAACTTGGTCACGGTTCAATTGACTAACGAACAGCGGCAAGCACACAAAGATCGGAGGCATACTGCGTGGTTCTTTCCAGTATATCTATTGGTAAGTAAGTGTTTTAGGTTGGTTGTGTATTGTAGAAGACATATTTTCAAAAAACTTTGGCTGACTGAACTTTACACACCAAACATGCAGACTTTGATACTAAATCAAAAAACTCAACCTCTGAACCATGAAAATATGGTCAAATCATTTTTTGGACATGACAGATATACTGGGGTGCTTGATGCATGTCAGAAGGTAATATGAATGTCGATCCCATTGAAGCGAGTAAATTTAATATGAACGTCGGTAATATGAATGTCGATCCCATTTACATGAATGTCAATGTAAATATGAAAGTGCGTACATGTTCGCATGCCCTCTAAACAATGTCTTCACTTGTGTTTATGTGTAGATTTACATGCCTTTCAATTATAGAGGAGTACATTGGTTGTGCCTAAAAATTGATATGATAGATCGTGTGGCGTACCTATTTGACTCATTGGCATCCGCCACACCGGACACCAACAAGCTGAACGCGGCAAAAATGTTGGTATATTGTGCTGAATTTCACAAATCTACTTCCACACTGTCACATCCTTCACACAAACTAACCATCTTATTCTGCAACAGGTTCAAACAATGCATTCCTTACTGTAACTACAGTTTGGAAATGAATATGCTGTAGACGTGCATACCTTTGACATCCGCATGTTAGAAAAAAGGCCATTACAACAGCTGGACGAGTAATCCACAAACCCTGTGTCACATTGACTTAACTCCTGAATGACTCATTTAACGAACTTGCTTATATTTACGAGAAATTAAATGTTACATTTCATTTGTAGCACTTTCGACTATGGGATGTTTGTGATCAAGTACATGCAACGGCCTGATATACCCAGCGGTCCACACAAGGTACATTCTACCGCTTCATTTCCAATTGCGAAATAAATCCTATTGCTGTAACTGTACTTGATTTGTGTTATTCGCTTTCTCTACATAGTTTCATCCTTCTGTGCGTCAGAAGTTGGTGCTTGACTTCGTTATGGATGTGAATAATTCAAAGATCGGCGAGTATCCTTCGTGCATGTGATTGATTGCAATTACAACAAATACGGCAACGATTTTATCATGGCCTGCTAGTACGAGAGTAATTTCGATGCCCAACCACAACTGGATTACTGCATCCGCTTGTCGTGACAACTTTTTAGGTCGCAGCTGTGATAATACTAATTTCCCACGCGTATTGATTGTATACATAATTCCAATGTTTGGGACTAGAACAAATGACAGAAAGTAGTAATGTTTGTTTGCTTTTATCGTGGCCTGTACGTAATGTGATACACATAATTTCAATGTTATGGGTACAGAACAAACAATGCAATGTGATATTTGTCCAACAAACAATGCAAGTTGAAAGTAGTAATATTTGTTCGCTTTTACCACATGAATTATGTTTGTTCATTTTTTTTGAATGCCATAATTTTGTCCAAAACAAAGTAAAAAAATTCCCACAGAACAAACAAATAGCAGTGACTATAATGCACCAACAGGGGTCCACTTGTCCACAGGAATTCATGTGGTAAACAAATAGCTGTAATTCTCCTATCGAACCACCTTACTATTATGTTTCCAACTGTCCCTGCACATTGTGGACTTCACATCTTCAGGTCAAGCTCTGTATTCTGCCAATGACCGTTTCTGCAATCCACCCAGTTAGTCCATACAATATCCTCGTAACTCCTGCACCATGTGGGCCCTCACGTGCAGTTAAACTAAACCCCTTTCATATGTGTAACTGATGGACTCTGACGTTGACTTTCGCACATGTCATGTTGTGGTTGATCCACGTGTGAATAGGCACAAAGAAGTACAAATTTTAAACTGCAAACGTGCCACAAATTTTATATTGCAAACAATGTCATGTTGCATACTGCCTGGTTGTTTTCATTATATCGGTCGATAAGTAAGTGCTTTACGTCAGTTGTGTATTGTAGATGACATATTTTCAGAAATATTTGGCTGACTGACTTTACACACTCAACATGCAGACTTTGATACTAAATAAAAACTACTAAACATCTGTACATGACAGATATACTGGTGTGAAGAATTATGACATCCTTTACATAAACGAATCCTTGGAAGGGCAACCACATAGGAGATATATAAACGGAAGATATGTGAAGAAGTATTATCCAACCATGTGGGAAACTTTGAAGGGGAGTTGATTACTTCATAACAATGCACAAACGGAGAAAAATTGCACAAAAAATAAAAAAACCATACAACAGACCATTCAAAAACAGAGTATTGATATATATATTTTTTTTGATCGCCAAAAGAAAAAACTTTATTCATGAAAAAGGCACATACAAGGTGTGAATGATACATCAATAAAGAGGAGCTTGGAGCTAAAAAAGCTCCAACCTCCAAGTTGGTGAGAGACCAACGAAGAGAAACAAAACCAGAAGGAAAACAATAAGAATGTAACTCGAAGCCTATCCTCACAAAAACGCATAACAGGACAACCAGATGAAACTCCAAAGCAGCATGAACAAACTTGAGACCATACAACTAGGCTTCAGACGAAGAGCACAATGCAGCCACAAACACCATGGCCAACTTCAGACCATGAACAAGATACCAACAGCCACACAACCGAAACAAGCACACAGAGGTGAAACAGCAGACCAAATATGCTACTTAGCAGCAACCACCAAAAGACATACAGCAGCAGTTTGGATTTTAATTTGCAGTTAACATCACAAATCTGCAGTTTACAGCAGCAGTTTGAACCATTGACAGCAGCTCCAGATCAGTGAACTGCTGTTTGACCTCTAGACACTAGCCCAGCAACACCAGAGCTGCAGTAGAAAAGAACCATGACATGCACTGCAGCCCTACAACTCAACCTACACAACCCAGATCCTGCACTTCTGCACTGAATGGATATAACCAAACCAGGAAATCACCTAAAAACATACTGCTGCATCACACTACCAAGTATCACCCCATTTGAGTCTGAATTCACACAGATCACAGCAGACACCAGCTAGGAGCCTGATCCATTAGATCTGATCCAAACCTCACCGCAGCAGCCACCATTCAGATTTGAGCTTGATCCTTCAACCTCCAAAACTAATAAAAAAACTACAGCAATAGACCAACAATTGCAACAAGGCCAGTAGCAGACCTCCAATAACTTTCCCCAATCCAGCAGCAAACCTCCAATACAGCACACCAAAACATCATTCCAACAATTGCAAAAAGGCCAATATATAGCAGCAGACTTAAGCCTATTCCTTGATCCCATATAGCAGCAACAGAGTATATATATAGCAGAGCAGAGTTGAAGCAGAGCAGAGCAGCAACCATAAATGAGCATGCTTGACAGCATAAACTAAGGCAGAGCAATAACCCAAAAATAAGGCAAAACATAGCAAAATTAAAGCACAACATAGCAAAATTAGCCACCAAGAAGATCTGCTAATACTAGGTATACACCCACTTCCCCTTGCTTCCATCAGCATACCACAGATTAACCAAAATGATGCATCCTTGCAGCAAAAAACACCAAACACCACCCCCTCAATCAGACTTTGATCCTATCCAGATTATTGACAATGTCCTCCACTGAATACTGTAGGTCTCTATAACTTTGCTTACACCAAAGTGCAACCCTCAGTTTCACCATCTCAGCCAATTCAGGCCCATCAACAATCTTATCATTAAAAAGGCAATCATTCCTAGCTTTCCAAATTGACCACATAACAGCTAAGGGGACAACTTTCCACATTGGTTGGATCACCTTTTTGAATTTAAAACCAGCCCACCAATGCAACAATGCCTCAATTGACCCCGGTAATACCCAAACCAGATCCCACCATTTCACCATATCTGACCACAAATTCCATACCACCGGACATGATAGTGTCAGATGGTTAATTGTCTCCTCCTCTATTCTACACAACAGACACACTGAGCTAGCTTCCATATTCAACACTCTAATCCTTTTCAAAAAAGATGAAGTTTTAAGTCTGTCTTTCCAAGCTAACCAGCTATAGAACTTCACCTTGGGTGGGGCAATATTCTTCCACAACATAACAGCAACATCTACAACAGGATCTTTCAACAACACCCACCACTTCCATGTCGAAGCCACAGAGTATGAACCTGATGGATTGGCCAGCCATAAACAAGAATCCTCTGCTTCAGCTGAAAGCACAGGTGTGTCCCTAAGTACCCCTTGTAGCCTTATGACCTCCTCTTCCTCCCAAGCTAACAGAGATCTTCTAAACAAAAACTTCCACTCATGTGCTGAACCTCTTCTGTGGGTGTAGACACCCCATTTTTGACCGCCCTTAAGACTTGGGCACTACTGATGGTTTGCTCGGTGTTGAGAGATGTGCAAGGCAAAGAATCAGTTTCTTCAGCTAGAAGAGAGGCAAATCCTTCAAAACACTTTGTTTAGGGGTTCGGAGTTGAAGAAGAGAGGAAATGAGAGGAGAAAACTAGTTTGGGAAAAGTTCGGCATGAATCCGGGTAGAAGCGAGTTGAGCAGCCCTCGCTGAATCGGGCTTATCTATCTGTACACTTGGAGTTTAGCTATGAGGCCACCACCGTCGGAAAGCTTACTTCCGGGGCTTCATTTTGCACTCCTAAATCTCTTAAAGCCAAGTCCGGGTGGGGGAGATATGAAC